TTGCTCATATACTTAAATCGTATCGTATATGTCTATATAGTGGTATGGTTTTCTTTCTGATCTGTTTGTGAAAAATGAAAACAAATCAAGCCTTCTTTTATAAAATAATTAGTTGTTATATCCAAATGTTGAAAACTGGATAATATAAATACATACGAGCCGTTTGATTTCCGTTTCAAGCATTAAAAAGAAGCTATAGCCTAAGAGCGATGACGTAACAGTAACGTTTGGAATTATTGAAAGCATAATAAGAATAAGAAAATTTATATATTGGCCTGAGGTCCTAAATTGTGGGTATTCAGGTTTAACTTTCATTTAATTCGGTTATGTGTTACCTAACCGATTGATGAAGATAATAACATTTAAGTGTGTGTTTATTGTGAACAGATCTAATATTCGGGTGTGCTGATTGAGTGCATTATTGACAATTGTATTGACGGACATAGGGACAGTTTAGCACCTACAAAAACGGATGTATTGAAAGGCATTTGAACAGAGGGATTATACGAGCGAATTGTTAAAGTATTCACACATAAGGATAGATAGATTGATGAACATGCGGACGGACGGATTGTTCAGCGAACATAAAGGGCAACCGCTTGATTCGCTTATTAGCAGATGGAATGGTGAGCATATTGGCGGATGATTTACCACTCATGGACGCGTATATACTGACGAGCATATGAACAGAGAGAATAAATTCGTAGCGGTGAACTAAGTGGGAACATATGGAGGAATGATTTTACAAGCATCAGAACAGATTGATTGATGAACATCTGGACGAAAGATGTTGATAGATACAAAGACGGATTGGCCGACAAACACAAAGATTAACCGTTTGGCTCGGATAGGAGCGGGTGGAATGGCGAACATCTGAGCGGACGATTTTCCGCACGTATGGACGGAAAGATTGATGAGCGGCCGGGCAATTTGGTCAATAGAGGTAGATAAACTAATATATGCATGGACGGACAGATTGCCAGATGTAAAGCTGGATTGACCGACAAACACAAGGATCAACCGCTTGGCCCGAATAGGAAGGGATGGAATGGTGAACATATGGACTCATATATGGTCGGATGCATTGACAAGCACTTGGACGGGCAATTTGATATACATAGGGGTAGATAGATTGATGTATGTGTGAACGGAAGGACCAACGATTCACCACACGTCAGAAGGAATAGATTGCTGAGCACTCGAACTGGCAGGTTTTGGAAATCTAAGGATATATTGGTTGACGAACATGTAATCAGACAGTGTGACTGGAGAAGGTAGGGATGGACAGAAAGCACTACAAGATGCTTGAGGGCTGAAGAGATTAATGTACTTATGGAGCAACGGTGTGATGCGCATAACGATGAATGATTTGACCAATATATTAACCATCAATCAAATATATTAACCAGACGAGCATATGAGCAGGTAGACTAACGGTGCATCGGTGCATCGTTAAATCGGCTTCGAATTTTGTTCTTGTAAAGACTGCATATAGTTTTCGGAAGTTTCTGAAACGGAAATACTAGGTTTTATGGTCATATCCTTCAACAGTGGATATAAGAATCTTTTTGATTGCGAAAAGCGCTTTTTCATTCAAAGAGACTTATTAACTTAACCTAAAAACTAATATAGTTAAAGAGAGTTGATTTTTTATAATACCTTAACTCACAATAAAAATTATTCAAATCGACTCGTCACCATATGACAATTGAAAAATAAAAAAAAAAAAGTAAAAGGAAAATGATGACATCAATACGAAAGAATGTTTATATTTCTCACAGAAAATAAAAGGTAAAACTATTTTCTATCTTAGAAAAATTAATAAAACTAAACAACAAAAACATATATATTAAGACCGCTGGATGTGAATTTGAAAATAAATTTATGTAAATTGCACGTGAGTATAATACGAGTGTATAAATATATAAATTTCTTATGTTACAATTTTTAAATAAATTTTGGTTTTCATAAACGGCCAGCGAAAAACATCACAAGTCATATTTTCGAGGTAATGTTAAGGACAGATAGCCGTTACACTCTTTCTTCTTCTTTTGGTCTATTTTAAATTCCATAAAAAACTAAATAAACCGAATAATGAGAAGATATTCCAGTATTATAAAGCACAAAAATCCTTCACCACGAAAACGAGAGCAACATGAACTCGTACCTTCACATTTTATTAATTTGTTTGCCCACTTTCTAATCTGAGCATTTTCGTTTAGTTAGTGAGGGAAGGTATGGTTTACCTTAAGGTATGACCATTAAGGAGGCAAAAAAATGTGTCTGTGTTCTTTATCCAAAGGAAAAGGAGAATCGATCATTCATTTTTGCCAAGCATTATGATATTTTTTTGATGCACTACATCAACTGAGACATATTAAATTCCTGCGGACGGTTGTAACACCTAGAAAGACTTGAGATATTCCCACTTATTATTTTAGCGATTCATTAAGAATCATTTTCTGACTCGATTAAAGCTTGTCTGTCCGGATGTCCGTTCTTCTAATATCTGTCCCAGTATAAGTTACAATTTTCGAGCTGCTTTGATAATAGACCTATTATTATTCCCTTCCATTCAGAATTGTTTTCTTAATCGATTAAAACTTGTTCGTCTTTCCGTTCATTTAATATCTGTCCATGTATTTCTATGTTCATCCTATAGATCACAATTTTCGAGATGCTTTCATGAAACTTGGTGCAGTAATGTGTTTGCTGAATTTGGACCATATAGGCCAATGGATCCATGTAGCCATTTGGATCCAAACCTATGCAAGGATTCTAATGAAAAATAAGGCTTTATTCGCCAAAAGAGTCTAATCTTAAATATTTCATGATGAAAACTTGTCCTTAGTAAATTAATCGCAGGAAATTTCGATCACATTGATCTATTGGTTAGAAAGCGCCATATATAGCGGCTCACATGACAGCAAGCCCATCCATGTCGAGAAAGCCTAATTCGTGGTTCATTATAACGTAAGCATTTGCAAAATAATGAAGTCCTTGGTAAATGGATTAAGTTTGCTAAATTTAGAGCACACTGGCCTTTGGGTGTCCTCCCATACAAAACCTTGTTTTAAAATGGTCTTTTTTTATATGGATATAAATTGAAATTTTTAATGTTTTTAAAAAAAAGTTGTTGAAATAGATTTGCTTTTTCAAACTTTTCCCTTCTTCTTCTATATAGAATAATAACTCCTTATATGGTGACAAAGTGTAACTTTTCGTGGGTTGTCATGGGGAAATGGGTTTGCCCTGTCAAATAAGTGATAGAACCATACTTCCAAACTTGTCCCTTCTTAATTTTCTTGTATATAAAACATTAAGCTTTTATAAGGCAATAAAGTATAATTTCTCATGCTGATAACTGTTGTGAAATGTTTTATACTTAGTGTTTATGCTAAGTTTTCTCACAAATTATTGCTTATAAAAGGCTTCTTATGAAAAGTAAGCCATTTTACGGCAACAAGATCTATTTTCTACCTTTTTTTTTTTAAGAGTAATAAATTTTTTTTTTAAAAGCTAAATTCGTTAGGTTAGCTGATGACTTCGGATTCAAGTCGGTTGGTCCCGAAACGTTTTCCAAACAAGGTCTATATGTCAAATTTGGCATGGAATAGGACCAAATCATTTCGACTCCCAAACAGGGAAAATGTAGCACCAGTGCCAGCTAAACTTTTGCTTGCCGCTTTTGCTTTACGTTTTGAAAGGATCTTTTGCCTCCGCCTTCGAATAATTTTCTTAATTGTCTTAATGGCAAATTTTGCATCGAAATTGTTCAAATCGTATTCACCAACGTATGTATGTCGCCTACCTTGATTGCGACGCCTATGTCGCTTTCTTGTTCTTGATACGCCACTACTTCTTTGATTCCTTTCGGTGACCGTACGTCTAGTTTTTGTCGTAGTAGTTGTCGTTGTTGTCGTAGCTCTTAACCGAACTATTCGCGAGAACTGCGAAGAAGTTCTTGTAGCTACATTCATTTCTAATTGAGAATTATTAGCCCTTGTACGTCTTAGAACAGCTACTTTAATTCTTTCGTCGCTTTTCTATTCTTTCTCAATTGTAAACAAATTCAAGCTCGCTCATTTAATTACTCTCAGATGCTTCCAAATTCAGAGTCGCTTTTTCTTTCTGAATTGTAAACAATATCAAGCTCACTCATTTAATTACTCTTAGATGCTTTCAAATTCTTTCATTTTGATGCGTACATATGTATGAAAAATAATCCCTTATAGTGAGAAATAATTGCGTATGCCTGAGTAATAATCCCTGGTAGTGAGAAATAATCCCTGGTAGTGAAAAATAATTGGAATTTTTGAAATTTTTTTTACCTTCTTCGTTGAGCTTTTGTGGCATCAGCGATTTAAAAAGTTTTATTTCACTGTTACTGTTTTTTTGTTTAATATCTAATAACTTTCTCTACAATATTAGTATTCGTAGTAGTGGGCAAAATCTTCCTCTACCATGAAAAATATTCCCCGACATGGAAACTATTTCATACTATTTCATCGTAAATTTCCTCTATGAAGTGCTGGCAGTTTGTATCAAAACAATATCAAATATTGCATATTGGGAGGTGAATAAATAAATCGCATGAGATCAATGTGATATATTATTGTTTCCATGCAAGTAAAATTTTCTGTCCAAAGTGTATATAATTTTTTCCTTATTGCATGCGTTTAAAATTTTGATTTAAAAAAAAAAAAAAATTTGAAAAATACGTTTTTTTTATGAAAAATGCTTTAAAGAAAAAAAAAACCTTCTCTATCATTGACTTGTGTTAATTTTAGCTGGTATTTATGAATGGCATACGGTTATGGTATTATGCAACTTGTTGGCATGTATTGCTTTTGTAGTAAACCCACAACATTTGATTCATATCGAAATTATTATTATTATTATTATTTAGTTGCATTTCACTTTTTGTACATTATAATTGCTATACCTTTTCAAATTTTAATGTAATGTTTCATTTCATTGAATAACTTTTTACATGTGTGTGTTTGTGTGTGTGTGTGTGAAAATTACATTAAAATAAAAATACATCATTTTGTGCGATTTAGTATGTGAGAGAGAGATAGACAGAAAAATTAATTAAAAAAAAAAAATATGCGTATATAATAAACTAAATAAAGTAAATAATTCTTAAGGAGACACGCTTAACAGGACCTCTAATAAATTTTTATAAAATTTCATAAATCCTTTTCCAACATTTTAAATAGATTAAGTTGCGAATTATTAATGCAAGAACAACCGTATTTTTTCTCTTAATCGTATTTAAGACATTTGAAAAGATTTCTATTATTGAAATTTTTTAATAATTTACCAAAAGTCCTTGTACGAACCTCAGGAGCCGTGCAAATTGTTAGTTTGACCGCCAGTATTATTGGCATTACCGCTCCCAGTAACATTTTGTGCTGACACTTCCGATTTTACACGCCTTGCTATATGAGATCGTGTATGTTTGCGTAAGTGATCTTTACGATAGAATCCTGAAAACAGAAAAAAGAAAAAAAAACAAAAAAAAAAAGGTTTTGAATTCATTCATTGATTCATTCATTCATTATACCTTTGCCACATTCAATGCAGACATGTTTCTTCTCGCCCGAATGTATCACGATGTGTAAAGTTAATTGCTCCTTACGCTTAAACGATTTCATACAAATCTAAGCGACAAATTTTTATTATATAGTTTATATATATATTTTTTCTGTTACTTACATTACAAACATGCGGCCGATCGGGTATATGAGACAATTTATGTCGAGTTAAGTGATCTTTGCGCTTTAAAGCCGCATTGCAAATATCGCAAACAAAACGCCTTTCGACGGCATGCGAGACGACATGTTGTTCGATTAGGCTGCGATCGGGATATGCCATCTGACATTCGGGGCAACAGAATAGCGTCGAACCATCCAGGGCTTTTGTTTCACGTATCTCGCCCGGTTTGGGTCGTGGTTTCTTCTCTTTCGGAGGTTTCTTCTTCTTACCTTTTTTCCCAGTAGTACTAGTTGCGTTACCAGCACCAGTACTAATAGTGGCCGCCGATGCTGTACTGGTAACGGTAGGCGTTCCATTCGCTACTCCCCCCGCGTTATTTGTACCATTCACATTATTGGCTGCATTTTGCTGTTGCTGTTGTTGTTGCTGCTGTTGTTGCTGCTGTTGCTGTTGTTGTTGTTGTTGTTGTTGTTGCTGTTGTACCAATTGTCCCGCATTGGCGTCAGTTAAACTTGTCAAATGCGCTGTATGATCCATGCCCAATAAACCGGCTCCTAACGGACCAACGCCCCCATTATGAGTATGATGATTCCCGTTGGCATTGTTTGTCGGTGCCAAAGCCACTCCGCCCAGCGCCAAACTAGCCAAATTGGTGCCATTCTTTAGCACGTCGCCTTTAATATTGAATCCGGATGAGGTATCTAAATTGCTTAAATTCAAATTCCCTGAGTTGATTTGCGAGCCCACAATACCTGAGGATTCTTTTTTTATTGTTTCAGAATATTTGAGAAAATGTTGTATGGAGATTGGCAGTGTAGCGGAGAGCAAATGCGATGAATAGTCGACGGTATTGGCAGTATTGGCCAACGTTTGCCATGATTGATTAACATTTTGTAAAATTTGTTGATTGAGTACTGTGATCATTTCCGGAAAAAAGAAGTTGGGGTTTTGTTCATTTAATTTTCGCTTTTAGGAAAATCCTTTAAAACGAAAAATGTTTAACGAAAAACAAAATTAAGAAAATAAAATCATAAATCATAAGTTAAAAAAGTAAAAAATTTAAAGCAAAAACTTCTGATATGATTCTTAAGACCCACAAAAAATTATAGAAGAAAATACATTAGGTAAAGTGGTTGAGAAAGTTTTTAGTGTTATTAGAACACTAAAAGCTATTCTAATTAGAACTGTTGCATTACCATTGTCCTGATAATACTAAAAACACTAAAAACTGTTTTAGTGTTCTAATAACACTAAAAACTTTCTCAACCACGTTACGCTTTTGAGGTCCTGTAAATCCTTGATTACCCTATCATTGTGGACTGACTTAAGTTCTTCTGCCTGTTTGTCAATCGTTGTTCATAGAGCCTATAGGTTCTTTTTGAGGGCTACGTAGTGACTATAACAAGGAAGTATTATAACTGGCTTTTCCTCCAGGGATACGCTTTAAAGATCCAGTTCACCGTAAGATTCTGAACAGATTTAAGCCCAGTTCATCTGTATCCCAGTCGTTCCTTGCTGGGTTGCTGGTCATCACAAAAATTGTGACAGAAAACTTACTCTCTTACTATTGTTACACATAGCTAATGCCTGTGCTCGAGTCAAAAAATAGACGAGATGTCTTTGCTCTCACTTTTATAGAAGACAAAAAACTGTAACGTACAGTTGGTAACTGGTATCGGCTTGATACTCAGTAGAAACATTTACAGGGAGTATAAAAATCTTTATAGTCGATCAGCCCGCCGAACTAGGGTAAAAACTTTAGCCAATTATCTCTAAGGTTTAGTGATCCAACACTTGTTCGAATAATGGCGAAGTAAAGAAGAATAAATATGTGAGGGCTTAATGAGGACTTTTTGCTTGCCCTTTAATGTAACATGAATTATAAGAAAAATGGCAGCTTAACATCCCGTTTGCCTCAGAAGTCTTAATATTGCACTCGTGATTCCAAGGGGTGTTCTGGAAAATAAATTGTTTCCTTGTAAGCGTAACTTGACTTGTAACGTAAATGGTACTTTGAGAACATATTTCATGCTTCCATGTGCCTTGGCAGTCTAGAAAAAAAGAACGTGACTGCTGCTCTGATGAATGGTAAATGGAATAAGTCTTTTCGGTTGCTTATGTTGGTCAAGAATATCATTTCACAAGGTATTTGTTATCTAATTCTAAACGTGTACAAAGCTTTGATTAATTCACCCCTTTTATGAAGCGTGAAAGGAACGAAAAAAAGCAAGGATAAAATAAACAAGTGAAAAATAAAAAGGGTAAAGAATAATAGGACGAATCTCTCAGTAAACAGACAACAGCATAAAATGTCACAAAGCATAAGAAATTCTTACAATAAAACAACAAGATAAGGGTCTCTTCGCTGTTGTTTTCTTTCTATCCTTTTCTTTTCTTATTATTTTTATTATAATTCGGTATATGTCCTTGAACTTTTTTTTTGCTTTCCTTCTAAAGGATTATAGCTAAAGCACACATGTATGTAAACGTTTTTTTGTAAATTTCTATGATGTGTCTAATGGTTACTAAATTTATTAAAGCTGAATTAAAGAATATTTTTGGAATGACAAGGTCATCAGAATTATTATATAGGGAAGAGGAAGTATGACAGGAGAAGAGCAATGGAGAAGTGTTTCTCATCGAAGGATGAGGGTTATATTCATTTTATCAAAACGTTTGCAAAGCCCAGAAAAAATCTTCAGCACCAAATTTTGAATCGATTCAAGCATGTCCGTCTGTCTGTCCGGCTATAGTAATGGCTATAGTAAACATTCTCAGCAAAAATAATCTTTCGACTTCAAATTTGGTAAAAACGTTAGACGTTCTCGCAGGGAGGGTGGCATTGAAAATGGGACAAATCGATCGAAGGGCACACCCGTAGCACCGCTTAAACTGAGAACAACTCTGTTTTTCAAAGGGAATTAAAAATTGTGTTTTTGCTCATTGTCCGCTGTAGCATTTGCACAAAAGTCGAAAAAGTTGATCACGCCTATACAATATTACAGTGTATCAAAATTTAATATTTTTTTCAATACCTTTATAAGTAGTACAAACAAGGTTTAAGAACCCCATAAAGTATAGAAATTCTTAGCCAGTTTCAAATTTGGAATGCGCCTAAATATATTCGTCTGTCGGTCTGCATAACTGTATAATATTTGCGGTAAACATTGCGCCATTAGCGAAAATGAAGTTATCGCCTACGAATTTGCAAACGAATTTGGAAGTGACGTAAACTTTTTTAAGGATATGCCTACAACGCCCGCACGTCTATACGAGAAAAGCTTTTATATTGAAAATAGACTATGAGAATGTAGTTCTTTTGCTTCTTTTCTTTTTTTTCAGATAACGGCGATCAACATATATATACATATATATAAAAGTCCTCTCAAGATCGAGTATAATTTTCTTACTTGTTCAATTTTTTCTTTCTTCTTAAACAAAGGAATATTATTCTAACAATTTTCGTGGTAGTTTTAATAGCCACAACGGATGCTAAAAACACTTTTTTTTTTTTGGAAATTCTTTTTACATTTACCTTGAAATAATATTTTTTGCTGTGCATTAAAACAAAAATGATTATTATATAGGGTAACTTACCTTCTTCACGGTCACGTTCAATTTTTGGATGTATTTTTCCCTTATGATCAACGCCAGCAGCGGCAGCATTTAAAAAATTCAAATCAGTTTGCGGTTGAGAATACGGTATTGATATATTTTGTCCATATTGCATAGCATTATTAGCAACGGATACTGTAATGTAAAAAAAGAAAAAAATTAACTTTTACAAGTTTGTTTGCATAATATTTGTTCACCTCATTCTATATTGTTTATTGGTTGGCCTTAACCTTGCATAACTTAAAGAAGAGCAAACGCTTCCTACGTGTAGGAAAGTAAGAAAACAAAGGTACCTGCACCCGTAGACACCACCGCACGTCGACTGAATAACAATTGCACTTTCGGGGTTGTCTTTGCACAGCTTCTTACCGCTAACTAGCACCAGGAAAGATATTTCTTTTATCCTCCTCGACGATATTGCGGAAAATTTTGCCATATTTCAAGTACTTGTCACCTACACCTTGTCAGGGGCGGACAAAAACAATTGGTAAAAATTTCCTACACTTCATACACTATGTAGCCTATACTAAGTACATTATGGTATATCAAGTTAATGTTAATGCATGTGCAACATCTAGATGGACTTAAGATAGACGTAACGTTTACTTCGTTATTATGTCAATCAATTTAGAATTCCACCGCGTTTGGTGGAGTAAGTTTGCTCGGGCATGTTACACGCAGAAGGGCTTAAGATAGACCCTTCAAATGAGAATCATTTCCTGAATTTAACTCGTCTGTCTATCAGACGTATGTCCATGTAAATTTGTGGTCAACCACACAGATTGCAATTTTTGAGATATTTTGGTGAAATTTGCTACATTGACGTATTTTGACCGAAAGACAACCGATATTAAAAATGGTGTAGATCGGTCAACTTTTCCGACAACTTCTCGGCAAACGTGACTAAGCAGTAGTACTTGGGCTCGTCAAAAAACAAGTCACAACATTACAGTCGGGCTACATGAACTCTTGCATACCCTACACCACTTCGCCTAACATAGTTATTCACACGTTTTGATAATAGTGCACCAAAATGTACAGACCTACTCCCCATATAAGAGTTTGCGTTTCGTAATGGCGTCTATATATGTTGGCGTCCATAGAAAATAGACGTAATTCAAATTCCCTGCCGTTAACTATTTGCTCAAACGCTTCTATGAATTAATTTTCCTAATAAATTATTGAAAATGAAGCCTTTTTCCGAGTGGAGCCAATAAACAGACCCATGTGCTTCAACTTAGGCCTTTTATTTAATTTTTCTTAATTACTATCATGAAAAAAATTTCATAACACTTACGCATTTTTGCTATTTAAATATCTACGTTCCCAGAGAATCTTTACATGCGTGGTGATCCAAATTCGGTAAGATTGATTTTTTTCTCAGTTTTCTATTATGAGTCAAAAAAAGTGAACATTCGAAATTTTCATCAAGTAAAGATTCAATTTTCGTAAGAATGGTTATATGAGAGGGACTCAAAAACTCTCCCCAGCCGGTCGAAAGTTTTCACACTAATTCGGAATGTCGAAATAGTCCTATTTAGCCACTTTTGTCGAAAAGGTATGGAAAATTGCAATTTGTTTCCATGTAGCGAGTTTGCAGAATGAGGCATTGTAAGTGGTCCGATCCAAATCATTTACAATAATGTTCGTCTTTGGGTATTTCCTTAAAAATTGCCACCTGTAGCTGGAAAGTCAATTTACATGAATCCACATCTGACGGACAGACGGACAGACAGGCTTAGAATTACTCAGAATCATTTTCTACAATAAAAAGCGGGCCTTAAGCCCTTCTTGGTATTACATACATCCGCACTAACTTCAAATACCCTATACCATATAATATACCCTGCAGAGTACAATAAGAGTATACTTGAGTTTTTGGTAAAGAAAAACACTAAAAAGTCTTTCTCTTAGTTAATATGAATGGATGCAATTCTAAGGTTGAATTCTTGGAAAGCTTTACGTTTTTCGATTATATCATGCACGCGATACATATTAAGCGAACAAAAAAAATATGAACACTAACTAATATAATATATGATAACATCAACAAATCATTGTATATATATATATTTTCATTATCACTAAGTGATTGGGAACCGGATAGAAGAGCGAAACTAAAAACATTATTTTCAGTAAGGATTACACTATTGTTTACTTGACCACAGTGAAACAATTGTTTTCACTTTTAACATCACTTTCACATATATACATATATACATATATACATATATACATATATATACATATATACATATATATATATATATATATATATATATAGGAAAAGAATCAACATAATTACCTTCACTAACCAAACAAACATATTAAGTTTCTCGGTATCAGTAATATTCATAGATATGTAAAAATGTGAGTAAGTGGTGGATAAGTAAAAAACAGAATATGTTCAGAGAGAGAAACTCGAAAAATAATGTTTGCATTCTCATCGGAAAATGAACTAAAGAAATTTCTACGCGGGCGTATGGGAGCAGCGTGTGTGGAGAACGAAGAAATGTGGATTGTATTGAGTTGAGTCTAATGGTGGCTGATAAACTGGAGCAAAGCATGCTTAGTGTGCTAAAGATAAAAAATGAAATATATAAGTTAATGGGAAAACTCTGGCTGTCGGGCACATATTTCATGACAATAAAGTCAAACCCGAACCGCCCGAACATTGTACTGTATTGTTGCTTACTAATGCAGCATGGTGTTTATGAGTATTTATACTCATGCCGATGGAATTGACCAAGTATTAAGCGAAAAATTAAGAGAATGATGGAATAAAAAACAATGAGAGTTCGAGTGATAAAATGAAGAGAAAGGAATGAGCTGAACTTGATACATACACTTATACACTAGTATAGTAGTGTCAGCTGCCTGGGAATGTATATGGTGGAAAGGATAAACAGAGTTATAAAGCCGCGATAGTCTCGGGATGACTAATGGAATGATGGAAATGAAATTTTTGTAGAAGGGAGAAAAATAAATAAAAACACATGCTTACAAGATGAATGTATGCGTACATACATATATATATATATATATATATAATGAAAAGTCTGAGAAAATTGCATTCTTCTTATGGCGAATCTTGGATACCCATCATATATTTGATTGAGGTATATATATATATATATATATATGTTGATTGCTCGGAATAAATTCGCGAGATTTTTAATCATTAATAAATGAACATTCTTATGAACATTCGAGTATAAGATGACGTGTATAACGAAAAATAGACTATAAAAGGAAATAAATTGTGAGAAATGTCTCACATGTAATTCTGATAATGAAAAAATAAATTTTAGTTTCACTTAACCTAAAATGAAAGTGGGCAAATATTTTCTACATAACATCTGAACGAAAATGTACATATGTAATTGGGAATGGAATTGTCGACTTACAACGAAAAGCAAATAGTCCGGAAAATCCTACTGCGAAGCAATCTTCATAGAGATGTGCATCTCTGCGTAGTGCAAACGGAATGACAATTTTAGAATACCCCCATCTACGGTTGAGTGAATTGAAAAAAGTATGAGAGTAACTGTATATGAGTTAATATAACGATGTACGTATATGTAATAATACCAGCAACACCACAAGTGTACACATATAAGTGTTTGTATATACATATGTTAGTACATATATAATGCGTAATATAGTCTGAAGTTAGAGTATGTGTTATACTCACTCCTGTCATTTACTAACACATTTAAATATCACTATATATACATATATATGTATATAAACACAAACGTTTATATATATGTATGTATGAATGTATATATAAATATATATATATATATATATATATATATATAAATAGCATTGGGGGATAGTCATCGTCGTTGATGATTGTAAGGGTTGGAAAATCGCTGGCGCATTTTAAAGCTTTAAAATATTCCTATGACCAGAAAACAAGTGCAACAATAAAATTGCTGAAAACACAACTTTAAGATTGACCAGGCGAACGAAGACATTAAGTAAATAAAGCACGTGCATATAATCCAGTGGATAATGCTGTCAAATGCTTGCATATCTCATGAAATTCTTTTTATTTTACTTTTTTTTTTTATAATTTCTAATAAAAAAAAAAAAGTAGTCAAAAGTTAATCTATTACAATTGTCCCAACATCAATAGCATACCAAAGAAGATTCATTTCAAACCCCATAATTTTTCATTACAATTTTTTAATAAAAAAAAAAATTTTGTTTTATTTTGTAAAATTCATTTTTTGTTAAGCGGATTTATTTTGCTATACTGATACCCCACGAGTATAGCACATTGGCTTAATCTGCTAAATCGGGTAGAAATATGCGTCGACAACTTCATGAAGTACACATGCTCACTCACTATGAAATAAAATGATAATTTTGCTGATCCTTGTGAGTGAAACGATTTTGCTAATTTCCGATCTTAATCTAGAAGGATTGGTAAGAACAATTTTGGGATCAACTTTTTCTTTCCAACCAAGTTTTTTGGTCACAATCGTAATTGCATTAATTGGACAGATTGACAGACATGCAAAGATCCATCTCGGTAATCCCGTAAACGAGCAAAATAATCATTTGATTGGAATTGATGTTCCAATCAACATCAATTATTAGGCGAAATTTTCAAGTCTAACTACGAGCCGACGGCCGATGTAAATGATTTTCCTTATCCAATAAATTTCCGCTTTCGAAGATATTGTCACTTGAGTCTTACTTGAGTTCCTACCGTAAAGGCCTAACCCTACAGCGCCCGATAGGACAATCCTCATTGAAGGAGGTTCTACTATTCGTGAGGTAACAAAATAGACAATGGTTGGCAGCCAGTTTCGCCCTTATTGATATGGGTCGAGGCCTATCTAAACATCTCCTGGACAGTTTCTCATGAAACTTCGGGGTATCTAGAGCCACCATGATTCTTCCCGAAAATCCGTACTTAGCAGTCAGCTAAGTCAGCATTTATCCCGATAATTAGATGAGTAGTGCATCATCGTACTAGGAGCAATCCTACTTTTGGGCAAGCTGACCTCCGTGGACACCCATTAACTTCTTGACTTATCGTTCTATTACAGAAGCTCATCAGACAGTAGATGTCTGTAGATGTTTAATGTGGATACCTGCCGTGAAGGTTTAATCCCTTC